TAATTGAACCAGTTTCCGTAGGACTTTAATGGTTCAGTATGTTCATTAAGACTCGATCGTTATACCAAGTAAATCGTCTAATTTTAATTTTAACAAACGTCAAAAAAACTACTCATTTTCTCAAACTTTGATGAATTTTTAAAATTAAACTACTTGTAAGGCCGTCATATTTCAGTAAGTTCTATAAGACCATGATATATATCGCCAAAAAAAGGTTCCATAAAATTACAAGAAAACGGCTCGGTAGATTTTCACCTAAAACTAATCACTATCATTCCCAATTAATATATTTCGAACAGTTTTTGATTTTTTTAAATCGATTTGGTAGTATGATCCTAAATGTGGACAAAAAGTTTAACACTTTTTTCCAAATTACAAAAAAACGGCTCGGCAGATTCAGGCGTTTTTGAGCAAATGTCGATGAAAGGTCTAATTTTGACAAAATAAAAAAAAACGATATTAATTTTTGCAGACTTTGACGAATTTTTAAAGTTAAACGAGTTGTCGTAGGACCGTAATTTTTTAGTATGATCTATAAGACTGTATCTACGGTGCAGCCACTTTTCAAAAAAACATCGAAGAAAGTCAGAAATCAGCTCAAATATAAGCACACCCACATACTTTTTCCCAGTTTGGTCTCAAACGATGAATATTTCGAAATTTTGAGAAAATATAAAGTTAGTCGTATTTTTAATGAAAACATTAACTTTAGAGAAGTTAGAAATTAAATTGCTTGCTGAACTCAATGGAAACCTTATATAAGATTTTACGCCTAAAGATATTTTTTATAATTGATATTTCTTATTATTAACTAATGTGCTTTGTCTAATTATGGTTATTTTGCAGTTTGAAACAAATGAACAAGGTGAGCCAATTGAAACGGGCCAAAAACGAGGACTAGGAACCGACATAGCATTAGCAGGAAGCATGGTTTTCATAGCCCAATTAGTTCTTTCTCTGTGTGTTGGTTTTCTGGTAAATTTAGCTGGCACTACAACTATTGTTATAGCTGCAGCTAGCGTATTAGCTTCTTGTGGAGCAATATTTGCAGCAAATATAATGTTTCTTGATTAATTTCTTTGAAACCCTAAATGCAACAGATATTTATGAAACAAATTGATGCATCAATTATATTGGTGGGGTAGAGCGGGGCACAAAGGTCCAATTTGACTTTGAGCACTTATATTGTAAAAACCAAACCAATTATATCTCAAAATAACATATCAAACAAACGATTTAAGCGATGCAAATTATAAATTTCATTTATACAGAAGATAACACTGTATACAACCTTGATATGGTATTACGTCAGAAATAATTATCAGCAGAGTTGGAATAACTATTTATTTAACTTATATCTTGTAAACTTACTATTTTAATCTAATTTACTTTTTTATTTACTATTTATTATAGTTTAAACATTTTCCAGGTTAAAGGCTGAAATGTTTTTTTCAAACCCACCCACATATAAGCTTTTATGAAGGTTATATAAAAAAAACTATTGAATCTTACTTTAAAATAACAAAACATTTCATAAAACAATTAAAAAACGTATTGATAAAAATTATATTAAGGTCTTTTAAACTAAACACTGTTTAGTAGTGCTCACGACCAAACAAGGTAACAAATACTTTTGTAATGGATTTTCAAACATTGCCGTTTGAACTTTTATCTCCCGATAGCGATGTCCTAAGAATCAAGATGTTTGCTAGTTATTCATTTTTTTTCCTCTACTTTCAAATATTGTTGTTAAAATATTCTTCACTTTACTTATTTTTGAAATATCGGTAGTGGACCTCGTCACCCCCGGACCTTTAAGCCCTACTCTACCCTATACTTGCATTTATTGATTAAAAACTATTCTGCAAAACTCCACATTGTAATGTAAAACTACTTATAAATCAAGCTATTATCATGATAACAGCTGTATATGCATATACAAGAGTAATTCTTTTAGTTTGGCATTATATTTAAATAGCTTATTGATGAAGAAACATATATTATTTTCTAGACTCTTTGAATAAAAGACTTGAAGTTGTATCAATATCATCTAGTTAACTAGGTATAAAACTATTAAAAAAAATTAATATAAAATTTTGAGACCTTCTGAATTGAAAAGGGTTTATTAAAACATTTTACTTGTTAATTATTATAGTACTCTAAAGAACAAGTTCGAATCCTTATAGTTGGACTTATTAATTTATTAATACATATATAGTTTATGATGAACATTTTTCTAAGAATCAATTTTCACAAATTGTTTTATTATTTACTAATTTTCCGAATTTAAGTATTTGTGTTTTTAATTTAATTTTTGTTTAATTAAAAAAACATATTAATTATAAAGTACAATACAATATAGCGTATTTATTAACATTTTTATGTTTATAAAAAAATGTATTTATTAATTTCTTTAAAAATTTATAATTGTTCAATTACATTTCTTCAAAATATTATTTGCTTTTTCCTTTAAAATGATTGTATTACAAATGATCTAAAATAATCAATAGTCTCCCTACTTTTGTAAAATGATTTAAACTGTTAAAGGTTTTTAAATAAATAAAATATAGATTATAGACAAATCTAATGTAAATTCATAAAAGTTGCATGGTAAATTCAGAATTGTATATTTTCGAATAATAATTAATGACAATAAAAGTATTTAGTCCAGCATAATTATATTTTCTTTACAGGAAATATTTTGATGTGAAAACTTTGTTATAATATAAGTATGTTATAATAATAGTCAGAGAATTTATGCATATCCTTTTTAATTGGGGAATATGTGTTGAGTGAAACACATCTGATTTATTAACATTGCCCATAATTGTAGATACATCTCTACTATAGACAACTATTGACAGATTTGTCCATAGCGAAAAAATGGTTTTATATGATGTTCATCAATATATAAAAAGAGACAAATTAATTACATATACTGAATCATTTATAAAAACCACACCCAGTATGCATTGGCGATGTATCGTGTCTGCAAATGCGCAAACCATCTCTTTTATAAAGGTCTTAGGTCTCAGGTTAGAGGTAAAGCCAAAAACAACTTGTTTTTACTAAGAATAAAATCCATTCATCCTATATTTATAACTACAGTTAACCCTCTGTTAACACGGCACTCTGGATATACAGTTCCCATACTACGCGGAGCTAAAAATCCGACATTCCTTCGACTACACGGACTTCCTATTACACGGTTTTTGTTGAACAGCCCATAAGTTCCTTGCGCAACCTATGAGTGATTCTAGTAACTTGATATCAAAAGGGTATTATTGTAAGTTTTGTTATCGACTTTTATCTTTTAGACATGCCTGATTATATAATAGCTGTCTAAGAACACGTTTGAGCTATCTATTGCGTCGCGCCAATTTTTGAATAAGGTGTCTATGTTACACATATCATTCGTCCTACTTCAAGTTGTATTCCTTGGACTCCATACAGCATTTGTACTAACTCTGAGTCTCTCATAGCGCGGTTCCCATACTGCACTATATAAGTTTCCATAACACTACGAATTAGCCTAAATTGTATGTTAAATACAAGTTTTTTATAGCACGGTTTCCATACTGCACGACACGCACTTGCCGCGTTAACCGAGGGTTGACTGTGTATAGATTACTCATATTTAATACGAATACGCACAGAAAGTAGGCAGCAATTTTTTAACTATGCCGCCATTTTTTCCCATCGCAATACCGTTTGGTCTCCACCATTTGTTACCCGTATCAAGCCTTCTGGGTTGACCCTAACAAACCAGAGCCCTGATAAAAGTATCACTATGGGTGCATAAATGGAACAAGTGCGTTGGATAAGGAAAGGAAAAGGAATTAAATAAAAAGAAGTAACTTGAGGTCAGATCTGATGAGTAAAGTGGATGGTCAAGGAGTTTCAGTCGTAACTGGAGAATTTTAATAACAGCAAAGACAATGGCGCGTTGTCATGGTGAAACTGGATTTTCTATTACTGCAAATGTGGTCATTTTCCGCAATTTATGCCTTTAGTTCGTCAAGTAATGATGCGTAGTAGGCTTCCGTATTGGTTCATTCTTTTTGAAGATAATCGATTAAAATAATTCCATAACTATCCCAAAATGCAAAAGACATCACACTCCCAGCCGAAATAACTTTTTATGTTCTTTTTGCAGCTGTTTTCCACTATGAAGTCCACTGTTTTGACAGTAGTTTTGTTTTAGGCGTGTAATGGTGAATCCAAGATTCATCTACAGTAATTAATCGGCCCCAAAACTCAGATCTATTAGTCTAAATATCGTTGAAAATGTTTATTCGAACCTGGCTTTGGCCTAACGTGAGCAAACGCGGCAGCCAATGCGCGGCCGGCTTTCTCATGAGTAAATTTCCCTTTAAGATGTAACAAATACATTTTCATTCACCAGCTTTTATTGACGAGCGGCTCCTTTTTCGTGTTGAGGTCGGAAACTCTTCAGCGCATCCTCGTACATAATAACGTATTCGTCTAATTTAAAAGCTCTTATATTTTGTACACAAAATACTGCAATGCTACAGTATTCATAATAATATATTTGAAAACATTTAAAACAATTGTTGTCAATCATTAATCAATTTTTGTTGATTATTATTTATTTTTATACCTCGAATGTTTAATTACTCGAATGTTCCGAGAAGTTCCAGCAATTTGCTTTAAGGCACAATGCCATGCATGACTACTTTTATTCTTTAATAACACAGTATCATACAAAACCACTTAAAAATTTGACATTGAAAAATATTAAAAATGATATCATGCAATTGTGGCATAGTGAAAAGTGAAAAATTAGAGGATGTAAAGTATACAAGAGCTGTTTCGTAGAGTATAAAATCAAACCTTTCAACAAAATCAAGTAACATGTCAATAATCAATAAAAAGAAACAATAAATTTTGGAATCATCCATATATGTATATTCAACGAGATTTATTCTCTTATACATAATTTGCATTTGAAAGTGTTAAATTACTAGTTGTGGTTTTGATTTTCAAGTTCACGCTTTAATCATCTGCTCTATGGCCTGTCACATTTCAGCACAAATGTTGTTACATAAAAAATTATTTTGTACTCTTACAATAAATTTATTGTAAGAGTACAAAATACGGCCCTAAAAGAACACTTAAAAATCATAAATTTTTGCTTCACAGGCAATTAACAGAAGCAAAAACCTTAATATTTGGTTATTTTCAATAATAAATTTGCAATTGTCACGTTTATAAATATCCTGGAATGTGATTTTAATCATCGTATAGATACTTCCACACCGATTCCACATTGTCAGACCGATTTTTCTATAAAAATTAGAACTTGCCTAAAATTTGAACTTTGATCAAATGTCATTCAAAATACAAAATCAATTACTTATTCGAGAATGAGTATATAATTGCAATCATTTAAATTGATGAACAGCTAATTCTATTTGTTCTTATATTTGGAATGTATCTTTGATATCATTTAAATACTAATCATAAAACTGTGAATCTCCATTCTAATCAGTACTTAGCATATGAGAGTAATATTTCCGCTATCACTTCCAAGCAAGAGCAATCTGTTCAAAGGTAATGTTACCAATGAGGTTAGCGCGCCCTTAAATGCTTCCGATCTGAGACGATGAACTGCCATGGGTTGCCCATCACTCGAATTTGCATCGCCACATCCGCCAACATTTGACAATTCATCAGAAGCCATAACAGATGAAATGTTGGCTGAGTCTGATGCTGCCAAATAAGCAGAATGAACTGCCAGGCGGTTGGCAGTTGTTCCTGAAACGACGCGACCGCTCATTCCAATCGGAGCAAGCAAATGAGCAGGTTCTGTGTGGCCTCTGAAAATTATATAATGAAAACATATTGTAAAAAGAAAATACAACTAGTTGGTATTGGTATTTTGCCTTGAGGCAAGTTACATGAACTTCTCGATATGTGTAAATAATCGACTTAATCAATAAAATATAAATTAATTTATGAGTTATTAAAATTATTCCGAGTGCATTTATTACACATAATTGAAAACGAACGAACACGTTAACTCGGAGTATTATCTAAAAGCCAATTTTCAAAGATCAATATAATTTTTATAATTGAACCAGTTTCCGTCGGACTTTAATAGCTTAGTAAGATCGTTAGGACCAAATACTCTATCGTCATGCCAAGTATTTTATTTTAATTAACTTCCCGTAGGGTAAGTTATTGTAATGGGCCGAAAATCGGAATTGAAAATTTTTACATTTCTCGACGTTTTAAAGGTTTCTGAACGTTTTGGCATACCTCAGGAAAAATGGATGTGTGTGTGTGTGTGTGTGTGTGTGTGTGTGTATGTATGTATGGATACAAATTTTCTCCCACGTTTTCGGGCGTACGGATCAACCGATTGGAATGGTTCAAAAAGCATTCGATTCCTATTGATAGGGAAAAGAGCTGATTAGTTTTTGGCAAAGGCAGGTCCAGCCGTTTCGAAGGTACGGAGCAAAGAGTGCAGAAAATAGAAATCGAATTTTTGGGAGAACGGAGTATCCGATTTGAATGATCTAAAATACATTCAATTAGTAATGATTGGGAGAAGTGTTTATTAGTTTTTGGCAAAGGCAGGCCCAGCCATTTTGAAGATACGGAGCAAAATATGTAAAAAATGGCAATTTTGGAGAGAACTAAGCGTCCGATTTTAATGATTCAAAGAACTTTCTGCTTGTCTTAACAAAATAATTGATTCTGGAAAAAAAATTTTTGTTCCAATTTTTTTTTTTTTTTCAGTCTTTTGTATATCGAAAATATTTCAGATTTTATTTTTAATTCTGACTATAGTTCTAATATACTTTACAAATAATTTCAACTCTGCAATTCAGTTTATATAATTCTTATAAATATTACACAATGTTACAATATTTATAATAATCTATTTGAAAACATTCAGTATTCCACGAACATTTTGTTACGGTACGGGAAGTTTCAGCAATTTGCCTTAAGGCACAATGCCATAATTGCCTCAAGACAGAATTCCACTTACAGCTAGTTTTAATTTTATTCTGCCATCTGTATAATTACATTTAGCAGAGGATGCTGACAAGTTGTTTACAATTCGTTATTTACAAATTAGTAGATACCCCCAGTGGCGTATCTACTAGAGCTAATATAATAAAAAAAACAACTAAAAACAAAAAGGGGGTAAAGAATAATAAAATGTAGTAAAACGAAAGTATTATAGTTAATTAAAATATATACCAAGTAAATCGTCTAATTTTAATTGTAACAAACGTCAAAAAAACTACTCATTTTCTCAAACTTTGATGAACTTTTAAAATTAAACTACTTGTTGTAAGGCCGTAATATTTCAGTAAGTTCTATAAGACTATGATATATATCGCCAAAATAAGTTCCATAAAAATCAGCTTAAATTTCTTTAAAAAAGAAACTGCTCGGCAGATCGTCACACTAAACTGACAAACAATAACCGTCATCGACATGCATCAAATAGCTTTTAAATTTCTGAAATCGATTCAGGCGTTTTTGAGCAAACGTCTATAAAGGTCTAATTTTGACAAACGCCAAAAAAAGATACTAAATTTTGCAAACTTTGACGAATTTTGAAAATTAAACGACTTGCCGTAGAGCCGTAATATTTTAAAATGATCTATAAGACTGCGGTACCTACCACCAAAAAAAAAAATCATAAAAATCGCAGAAAAAAATTTTTACACTTATTACAAGAAAACGAATCGGCCGATCTTTACCAAATACTAATCAGCACGATTCCCAACTAATATCTTTCGATCGGTTTTTAAATTTTCAATATCGATTCAGAATTGCGGGCTAAAACGTAGACAAAAATTTTTTCACTTTTCTGCTATTTACAAAGAAACGGCTTGGCTGATTATCGCGCAAAATTGATAAACGCTAATCCTCATCGAGATACATCGAGTGGTTTTTATATTTTTGAAATCGATCTAGCCGTTTTTGAGAAAACGTCGATTTACGGCAAAAAATCTGTTCACATACACACATACACACACTCTCATTCGGGAAGTTAAAGACGCCTATCGTTAAATATATATAGGTATTCTATATCACTCCTTAGTTCAAATAGTCAAGAGGTATACGAGGTGTGTTCAAAAAGTACCCGGAATTACTAATAATTAAATTTCGCGGGTCTGGAGTGTCTGATTGTCAAAATTTTTTTTTTATTGTGTTGGTATACATGCCCCTAAAGTATGATGAAATTTTCAGCTATATTCACTGTTTACTTTGTCTGTGGTAGTCGCTAAGGTTCGACGTGTTTTTCTGAGCTCGGCGATTTTTACAATGGAAGAATTGAAAAGTCAAAGAATTTGTATTAAATTTTGCGTAAAAAATGAAATAAAGTGTTGCAAAGTGCAAAAATTCACCAGATATGGCTCCGTGTGACTTTTTCCTATTCCCAAAGTTGAAGAGACCCATGAAAGGACGGCGGTTTTCCTCAATTGAAGAAAATCGCTGAGAGTGCTCAAGGACATATCAAAAAGTGAATATCAAGGGTGCTTCGAAAATTGGAAAAAACGCTGGCATAAGTGTATTATATCTGGGGGGGACTACTTTGAAGGGGACCACATTAATGTAGACGAATAAATAAATATTTTTTTGAAAAAACGAAAATTCCGGGTACTTTTTGAACAGACCTCGTACATAATTGTTTGAAAAGTAATTTCAAATCTGCCAGTGTCTTTGAAATATATTAAGGTGCATCCTCACCTAACGAACGAGCACGAACGAATACGAGCAAGCAATGCTCCGCAATTTGTTGGAACATCGAAATTGTTCGTTCATGTTGGTACTCGTTTGCAGTGTGGACGCCACAACGAATGTAAACGAACATTTTTGTTGTGATATTTACTTTATTATATTTGATATTCACTTTTTATATTGTGATTAATGCGGTTACTGGGTTTGTTAATTTGGAATAATATGGAATGGTCGAATGACGTAATTTTGGCATAATAGAGAGATTTCTATATTGTGGCATACTAAATTTCCATTTTATAAAATCTCTAGGGCAAAATACCTTCACGTTCGTTTGGAATGATTCGCCTTCGTTCGTGTTCGTGTTCGTTCTTCTTCGTCGTGTTCGTTCGTACTTGTTCGTTAGGTGATGACGCACCTTAACTAGCGTACTATCAAAACATTTTAGTGCTACAGATCAACCAATTTCTTTTTGACTTTAACTGTATGTTTACTTTAGTAAGAAATAATAATAATAAAATATGTAACAAATTTCGCTTATTATTACCTACATAATTCTTCTACATATACAAAAACTAAAAACGACTGCAAATCTTTATTAATAGTTTGTGAAGAAAAATGTTATTTACCTCAGATATCTAGTTGGTCTACCATCACTAACAGACCATGCTACTACAGAATGATCTAATCCACTAGTGACGACCACATCACGAGAAATTTCTGTTGCTTGCAGCATCTCTCCATCATGAGCGCGCCAAGGTGGTAATATCAGAGCACCATGATGATCCAGTACGGAAACGTGGCCTGAAGCTAATCCTGCAACTACATGGCTCCAATTATTGCCCGAGCAAGAAGATACCGCCAATGCTCTAACAGGACAAGATCCTTGTACACCTGTCTAAAAAATTAAAATGATTCTAATAGTTTAGGACACACCGATTGATTACCTTAGAAGCAGAAAATATTTTAAAATGATTATGAATTATAGAATAGTAAAAATTGTACAACATATTATAAAAAATGTTAATAATATTTTGCTAACAACTATCACTGAGTAGGATATGCAATACCGATGAAAAATTTCAATACCGGTATTTCGGTAATTTTTCATTTTAAAACCGGAATACCGGTAAATTACCAGTATTTTTATTATCTTAAACAAACGCAAACAAAATTGAAAGTTACTAGTATATACTAGTTATAGTTACTTATACAACTACAACTATACTCAACTGTTTATTTTTTTATATAAGTTTTTTTAAATAATAATTTAAGAAAATTATATCCAATTTAAATCATTCATTATCACTCTCGACTATATTGAGAACTTTTCACCACAAACAAACTTATGAGTAAGAAATACCAAAATATCATAAAAGATCATATTACATTATTATAATAAACTGTATTGTCTGTATCCGAAGTGTTAAATTAGCATAATTTCCAAAATATTAAAAAAAATAATTTTCTACACAAATTTGAGATCGGATACTTTGTCGAGATAAATAATAAGTTACTATAATTGTTGAGTATTGTTATTTAATTTAATAAGTTACTATAATGTGTTGGTTCTATAGTATTTTCTAACTTCGAAATGTTTAGTGTTATGCTATGCTAAAATATTTAGTGTTTATCATAATTATTATGTACAAAGTTAGAAAAAAATAAAGATTACGCAGGGGTAATCTGTATGATATAAAATATTTTTGCGCTAATTTCACTTAAAAACCCGTTAAATTTTTACGTAAGATGAAACAAACATCATTATCTATCAGTCCAATTCTATTTATTGTAACACGATATGAAGCCCTTAGTAAAGCAATAATTATTCAGTAATGACGAGTTGAAATAATATTTGACATTTATTTTATCCTATAGAACCACTTGAAGATATTACTGTTTATGCGATTATGGAATTTAAAGATAAATTTGTTCCGAGAAATTTAAACATTAGTGTATTATGTATCAAATAGCGCTTATGGAAAAATACCGAAAATACCGGTATTTTTGGGGTAAATACCGGTAAAAATACCGCCGAAAAATCGGGCGGTATACTGGTCTACCGGTATTGCATACCCTATCACTGAGCATATCATTGCTTGTAGTCTATTCAATTAATATTTACTCACAATTAATACCGATCCTAAAACAAGGTACCCTCACAAAAAATATCCATTTATTGAGAATATAATAAATATGATAATATTTAAGAAAGATAATATTGAAATATTAATTACCTTCCATTCTTGGGCAAAGCCTTTAGCACGGATATCAACGATCTTCACCGTCGATTCGGTTGTACCCGCTAAAAGCAAGTTACTTGAAGACGGTAAAGCTCTGACCAAAATAAAAAAAAAATGCATTAAGTGTATGTTTATTATCTTGAACCATAATTCTATAAATAAAATTTTTACTTGAGTACATTCACATTCGTTCCATTGAGTATTGTGAGTGATTTGCCAACATAGGGATCCCATATATGAAGAGCACCGCCGGAGTCGCATGAGCACATGACCCGAGAATAATCAGACCATACTAGAGATGTCAATGGTTTTCGATGTGCAGAATAAAGCCATCGCGGTGAACTGGAAACGCCACCATCGCCCTGATTAATAATTTGAACCATATTTAAACATTCTATAAAACTTGCATTAGAATAATAATTACACACAATAATAATTACATACAGGTTCACAAAAAAAAATGCGCGTAAAGTTCACACGCGATTGAAGTAAAAGTTATTTGCTACTGTACAAGATGGCATTTAAGTAAAAATAAATACATCATATAACAATTTTGAATAATGATTATTAGTAATATGGTAACACTCGTAAATGCGCACATTTATTAGTGTCAACCATTCACAACCATGGTTTCATTAATATTACATGATAAATTATAAATTATATATTTATAATAGCATTAAAAATATGTATAATATTTAAAAACAATAATGTAATTAGAGTCATACTTCAAATATAACATGATCGGTTTGTCATTGTAATTTGCATTTAGAAATGAACCTTACTTAGAAAAATGAAGTAATTGCTGATTAATAAATTCGTTCACACAGTGGATTATGTTAAACAACGCCTAAACAAATATTGTTTTCGCAACTTCACTCATCATGTAATTGTGTTTTAAGAACTTCATGTAATTAAAATTAACATACATTCATTGACTGCTTGTATTTTTTTTACTTTTCCGCTGGCGATATAATCTCATTCTTTGAACAGCTGTAATATTTGTCTTGCCTAAAAATATTCTCCATTTTAATAACTTCAAAGATTTATAGAAACTACGAATAATATAGAAATAATTTCCAATCAATAAACTAACGCTTAGTTCACGGCACAAATGTTGAATTTGTTTTATTATTTTCAAGGAATATGGTAAAATATTCTTCTGATTCAGGCATTTTTATTAAGTCTAGATTTGTACAACGTTGTAACTTTAAAATGCCGATTTTCTTGTTGATATTAGTACGCATACAACGTTGATGCCGGTACGCATACAGCGACAGATCTCTTTTCACATGCGCGACGCATAATCACAATTCATCCGTATCGAAATGATTTCATCGAGAGCGAATGACGAATCGTTGGCACTCGACTCGGTCGTAACGCACTTCCGTTGCATTTGTACGGATTTACACCCTAACCCTAGTCGCGCCTAAAGAAGTTTTACTTCAAAAGAGTTGTCTTAAGTAATTGGGTGTGCAGCATGTGTTTTCCTATGCATTTGTTAATCTGCTAAACACTAATCTTAAAACAAAATTGGAGGTCAAACTACAAGAAACGGAGAAAGAAAGCGACAAAATCTCCAATCTGCAATTCTTTTCATGATAATTAAAATCTAATGATTTCCATGGTTTTCTGACCATTTTCTCTTTAAATAACCTATGCAATGGATTTCTGCAACGCTTTTTTCATCTCTGTTGAATATCTTTTTGCAACGTCCAACAGTAATGAAAATATTTTCAATATAATTTGTAATGACTTTTTATCTTAAAAACCAAACCAAATTGGCTTTATCGAAAACTCTTCTAGGCCGCAAACACATTTTACTTAACCTTATCAAAATCAAAAGATATAGATACATCATGATGGATTTATGCATGGCCACCATGCATCGTCAGCTGATTCTAATTATAACCCACCTCGCTCCTTAAGGACCATAGACGCACAGTTTTATCTTTTGACGCAGAAGCAAAACTGTTTTCATTGTCCAAAACTACCAGAGATTTAACAGCATTTGTATGACCGCAGAATGTTTGTAATTTTATTTGTTTGATGTTGAAACTGTAAAAGAAAAATCATTGGTCAAGATTATTGCATTTAAACAAAAATATGAGTTTCTGAAGAGTTGCCTCACCTAGAATCTTTATCTGGTCGTCCAATTTCATGCTCCCAGTATGCCAGCCAGTTGCCCTTCAAATGCCTGGATGTAACACTGCTTGCTGTAAGATTTCGAGATAAATTTGTTGAAGCACAATTTGGCGCAGGACCACTAATAGCGTCATTGCTGCAAAAAGATGCATCTCCACTAGCCGTAATTTCACTTGTTGAATTTAGGTCTACATCAATACGATTGCCAATCACAGCTACGCTGTTTCCAAAACTGCCTGACCCTATTCATTAGTAAAATATAATTAAACATAGTTAACATGTGTTCTTTAGTATTTCACAAAAAATTTGGAAATATACTGCAATAATCTAACATTAATTAAGCATTTATATAAATTTGCTGAGATTAATATATTTTAACTTTATTGATATTCGAAAATCATGCAGAGTTATGTTATTTATATAAAATAAGTAATGCTCTTTGTATTGCCATTAATAATTTTTTGTAAATTCCTAGCTAAAATACGCTATTTCTTATCATTAACCATTTGTAAGTGGCATTTTGTCTTAAGGAAAGTTGTACAGATACTGTAAATTAGTGATGTGCCAAGTCGAATCAAGTGATTCGAATCATTCGAATCATGCCTTTAACGACTTGATTCGAATCAGATTTTACTTGATTCGAATCAACTCGTATCAAGCCGCGAAATATTTACTGTGATAAAATATGTATTAACACAAATTTTTCATAAATATAAATATAAAAAAAATGTTTTAATTTAATTCAATATTATAATAATATAAAAAATAAATATCATAATAATAAAAAATAAATAATGAATTAAATCATGCGAGCCACCCGACTTTAATATGCTTAAATGCATAGCTGGGCACCGTTAATCAAATAGTTAACTTCGTTAATCGTTAATCCGCTACAAAAAAAGTTAACTTCGTTAAACGTTAAAGCGTTACATTTCGGAAGAATTAACGCAAGTTAACGTTAATCGTTAATCCGTTAATATGTGTAAAATTACATTTTTATATCGTTGCGTTAGTGAACTTAAAAAACTTATTAACTTCCCGTAGGGCAAGTTATAGTAATCGCAAAAAAATCGAAAATGAAAATTTTTATATATCTTTACGTTTCAAAGGTTCCTGAACAGAGAATTTTGGCATACCTTAGAAAAAATGGATGTATGTGTGTGTGTGTGTGTGTGTTGGTATGTATGTATGTATGTACGTGTGTGTATGTATGTGCGGATACAATTTTCGTCGACGATTTCGGGAACACGGATCAACCGATTTGAATAACTCAAAAAACATTTGATTTGTATTGATAAGGAGACGTGCTGATTAGTTTTTGGCGAAGGCAGGTCTAGCCGTTCCGAAGATACGGGACAAAAAGTGCCGGTGTTTTATACACTTCCGTGTGTACAAGGAAAATGTTTTATACACATTCCGTGTGTACAAGGAAAATGGCACAATTATCACATACCGTGATAACGCTATTGGTCAACTTTCCGTTTTTATGATTGCATATTGTTTTTACAAGAATTTTTTTCTAAATAAAGGGAAAGAGTTTTTTTTAACTTCCCGTAGGGCAAGTTATAGTAATCGCAAAAAAATCGAAAATAAAAATTTTTGCATTTCTCGACGTTTCAAAGGTTTCTGAATATTTTGGCATACCTTAGAAAAAATGGATGTATGTGTGTGTGTGTGTGTATGTATGTGTATTCGGATACAAATTTTCGTCGACGATTTCGGGAACACGGATCAACCGATTTGAATAATTCAAAAAACATTCGATTCGTATTGATAAGAAGACGTGCTGATTAGTTTTTGGCAAATGCAGGTCTAGCCGTTCCGAAGATATGGGGCAAAATTGAGCCAAAAACGGTAACTCAGTTTTTAAGAGAACGGAGCGTCCGATTTGAATAATTCAAAAAACATTTCACTTGTATTGACAAGATGAGGAATCGATAAAATTTTCATGAAGGTAGGTCTAGCGGTTTCGGAGATATGGAGAAAAAAAGTAAAAAAAAAATGCCATTTGGCGGTCAAAATGATCATTAGACATATGCACATCAAATTATCAGATATTTTATAGAGATTTTAACAATAAGTATAAATTTTATTTACATTCCTATGGGTTCCGTACCAATGTTTATCCTTTAGACAGCGACGCGGCGCTTACGCGCTTCATATTTTGTCTCTATGCAGTCCTAAAGTAGTAAAATTGCTTTGAAAAAAAGTTCAGATCTTCCAAAATATGTCAAAATAAAGAAAACATTTTTTTTTTTAAAAAAAGTAATTTTTTATCCAATTTATAGTTTCTCAAAAATCTTATTTTTCGAAGTAAATTTTTTTCAAAAATGTTAATCGTTTTTAAAAAAATAATAATTTTAGGTACGGAAAGTACCAGCAATTTGCCTTAAGGCACAACGCCTTAATTGCCTTAAGACAGAATTCCACTTACAGCTAGTTCTTTAAAGAGTTCGTAGCTCTTTGGTTTTTCTATAGACTGAGTGACAGAATTGAAAAAGTCTTCCTTCTCGTCATCATCGTTGTTACTCGCATTGCTCCCTCCGCCACTTAAACTATCTCTGTCCTTCGAATTTTTCGCTACTTCTTGCCATAAGGCATCTTCTACCTTTTTTTCTGTGCATTTTCTTACTGCATCCTCTCTACTGCTGTCATACGTTTCCAGCCACATTAACCGAAACTTTGGGTGAAATGCCGCGGCAAGTTGGCACTGTTCATCATTCAGGAGAAAGTCCAAATCTTTTCTCTATGCCGTTTAATAAGGCATTGGCTAAAGCTGTGCCGTGCGGTAAATAGTAGGCATTGGATTAACGATTAACGGACTTCTCGCATTTTAACGGAAGTTAACGTGTCCGTTAACATTTTTAAAAGTTAACTTAAAAGTTAATCCGTTAATCAAAATGTTAACTTCGTTAATTAACGATTAACGGATTAACGAGTTAATGCCCAGCTATGCTTAAATGTATCAGACTTTATATGACTTTAACCGCATTCATCGACTAACTATATCATTCGACTTCATACGGCTCAAACCGAATCAAGCGGCGATATGAGTTATTCCGACTTCATGACTCAAACCGAATCAAGCGGCGTTATGAGTTGTTCCAACTTCATGAGCCAAACCGAATCAAGCGGCGTTATGAGTTATTCCGAATTCTGATTCGAATCATCCCGACTTCAAGCCGTTCGAGCGATATGAGTTATATTATTTGTATGGGCGATACAATGCGTCGTCGTTCTTGCGTGTTTATTTATTTTACGGAGAGCTGAGAGCGATTTTGTTCGTGAAATATCAATACCCAATTTTGATAATAATTAAGTGTTTTAGATCTTAAATGTTATCAGAATAAACCACTCGAAATTATGAAACGAGTTTCGGGAATCTTTCAATATAATTCTCTTTTGAAACAATTACTAAACACCAGAAAGTCAGTAAATAATATGTTAACTTCTAATTATGTAAGTAATGGCAAATTCACATTAATTAAATTAACTTTCAGCTCTCAGTTTAGATGCGATCCTTTACTGATTACATAGTAAAATAAACAATCGACCCATGATTCCAAATATTATTTTATATACTTTAGTGATGCACAATTGTTTGGTAATCTATTATGGTAAATTAATTTGAAGATATGTTTCAGCCGTCTTCAAAATTATATCCTTTTTATAATTTTCAAATATACTTTTTGATGTAATTTATTATTACAAAATATTGTTAAACTTTTATAAATATCACTTTTACTAAATTAGTACATCCATGATTTTTTTTGTCCATATATATACTTGATTCGAGTTGATTCGAATCATGATTCGAATCAGGTTTTTTTCTGATTCGAATCATTCGAATCGGGAATTTTTCGAGTCGGCACATCACTACTGTAAATTATTGTAGATAATCGACTTAATCGATAAGAATTGAAATTTAGCTATTCACGTAAAAATTCCAACTGTTTATTAACTTCCTGAAGAAGAAGTTTATGTTTTCATCGAAAAATCCGATTCGCTAATTTTATGTTTTCTCGACGTTTCAAGCCATTCTGAATCGAATGAGACCAAATTTGGAAAAAAGCATGTGTGTGTGTGTATGTAAACAGATTTTTTGCCGTAAATTGACGTTTTCTCGAAAAACGGCTGGACCGATTTCAAAATTTTAAATGCCATTCGATGTATCTCGATGAGTACTATCGTTTGTCAGTTTTGCGCTACGATCGGCCGAGCCGTTTCTTTGTGCATCGCAGAAAAGTAAAAAATTTTTCGTCCACGTTTTAGCACGCAATTCTGAATCGATTTTGAAAATTCAAAAACCGTTCGAAAGATATTGGTTGGGAATGGTGCTTAACAGTTTTTGGTAGAGATCGGCCGGGCCGTTTTCTTGTAATAAAGTGTTAAAAAAATTTTTTTCCACGATTTTTATTTTTTTTTTTGACAATAGACCATAGTCTTCTAGATCATACTAAAATATTACAGCCTTACGACAACTCGTTTAACTTTAAAAATTCGTCAAAGTTTGCAAAAATTGGTTTCGTTTTGTTGGCATTTGTCAAAATTACTTAGTTTACTTAATTTAGACCTTTAATCGACGTTTTCTCAAAAACGCCTGAACCAATTTTAGAAATTTAAAAGCCATTTGATGTATCTCGATGAGGACTATCGTTTGTCAATTTTGTGCGACGATCTGCCAAGCTGTTTCTCTGTCTTTTGGAAAAAAGTGTTAAACATTTCGTCCACAAAATGTTTACAAAGAAACGGCTTAGCTGATTATCGCGCAAAATTGATAAAGGCTAGTCCTCATCGCGATACATGGAAAGTATTTAAATTTTTGAAATCGGTCCAGCCGTTTTTGAGAAAACATCGATTTACGGCAACAAATCTGTTCATATACACACACACATACTTTTACAAAAATTTGGTCTCATTTCATTCAGAATGGCTTGAAACGAAAACATAAAATTAGCAAATCGGATTTTTTGATTAAAAATCATATTTGCATGTAATTATGTATTCGATTACAATATACAAGTGAAACTTGTATCTTCAATTACCTTTTCGTAGTAAGTATGTAGTTTGAAACAAGTATTATATAACATTATTATTATCTTACCCCCGCTAGCATCAGCCGAGCTGCCGCTCCAACGCATTTCTTGCCTTTGGGGTATATTAATTTTTAGTGTTGGAGCATCTGTTTGCTCTGTGTTCCAACGATAATCTCCAAGAGAAGATTTAGTATCCTCGTATTCTTGTTGGCAAAGCTTTCTTATCAGTAGATGATTTGAAAGACAGCGTTCCATTGTTGATTCGCCAAGCAAACGCAAAAATGGTGAGTAAGATTGAAGTGCTAAAGACTGGTCAAATACTTTGCAAATCTCAGCTATAGCCTGATAAAATAAGATTTCTTTGAAACCAAATTTGTACAAACATGTTAATGAAATCAAAAAAATGTATATTTACCTTGGATTGTGCATCACTCTCATTGGATCTTTCCTGCTCGATCTGTTGAAATCGTTCAACGAATATCTTGCTCAGGATCATCATCCTTCTAACACGCAACACATACACACACATACATCCATTTTTCTAAGGTATGCCAAAATGTTCAGAAACCTTTAAAATGTAAAGATATATAAAAATTTTCATTTTCGATTTTTTTGCGATTACTATAACTTGCCCTACGGGAAGTCAATTAAGTAGTGAAATTGATTTCATTTGTTTAGATTAAAAAAAATCCATATATATTGGTGCGTTTAGTAAATTCAAAGAATAGTTCAGAGAATAATGTTATGCTTAATACTAAAATTCTTATACAAAATGCTCAATTGTGATTTTAAAATTTAGCAGTTGATCCTCTGTGTATTCCGAACTACCGAGACTGCCTGTTTTAAAAACTAATAGGCTCTGTATAATACAAATCGAGCTGATTTCAAACCTTCACAATGTTTTAGGCAATTTTTGGATATGGTAACAAATGATAATATATAAATATATTCATTCAAACATATTAACACATGCATACGAAGACTTTCATAATTTAACGAAAAATGTTTTTGATATTTTTACAAGAATACTAAGAGAAGTTAATGAATATAAAAATAGATATTTTTAAACTACAATAACCACAAATAGTCACATCATAAGTCAAAACATGTATATTATTAACGGCCTGCCAAACAATTATTTTACAAAGTCATCGCTAACAGTATGAGTCAGACCAGGAGTATAACTTATTATTAAATGCAGAGTAACTGGCACTTAGGCATTCAGTCATATTTCGAAGAATTTGAATTACATATCTTTCTGCATATAGAGATCGTCCGAAAGATATAGATACGAACAGCATTTTATCTTATAAACATTGAAAAACAGAACATAATTCACAAGAAACCTCAAATTAAAAATCTCATAAAATAACGTAAAATAATAGACAATATTGGGGACAACTAACAAAATCCATTACTAACATAATTTTTTAACACTATCAATATAAAAATATTCTATCAGTACTAGAAATAAATGATAAATAAAATTGGTTTAAAATGTGTTATGGTAAAGATTCAAATACATATGTTTCAATAAAATAGAGCCTAGAAATTTAAAATGAATATCAAAATGGCTTTTTCTGGTAACATGTGTTTCATTATTCAATAAATATTTTATGACAAAAACATACTTGTGAAAATAACATACTTGTACTATGAACAAAATGATACAGCACTATTTCGTCAGCACTACGGAAGAATTTTTATGAGAGAAAACCATTCAAAGCAAATTAGCTGATTTATAATCACTCTGCATTTCAAAAGCGAAAAAAAATGAAAAATAAGAAAATGAGAAAGAAATTCTGGTTTATGAAAAAAACATTTTCAGTATAGAAAAGATGAAAAAGAATCTGTAACCTACATATGAAGATACTATCAACAAAATGCTAGGTGCGTTCTCAAATCAACAAAACTATTATTTTAAGTGAATTAAAATAAACATCTACTTCAAAATAGAAAGTGATTGTATGTAATATGGAGTATGATTGTATCATATATACAAGTATAAAATTTGATCTTAATGGAAGCATCTATTATAAAATATATTTAGATTTAAATTTCATATATAAGTAAATAATGTAAACTAGCACTAAAATAAAAACTACTTTTCTCACGCTGTTTATAATAGGATAAAAGGGGGCATTTCACACCACCGCATACCTCAAAAACAAGTAAAGTAAATAATTTTTTAACAATATTTAAAAGTAAAGGGAGAAAGTTTGTGTGCGGACACAAATTTTCGTCAACGATTTCGGGAACACCGATCAACCGATTTGAATAATTCAAAAAACATTCGATTCGTATTGATAAAGAGACGTGCTGGGGAGAAGACATGCCTAGCCGTTCCAAAGATACGGGGCAAAAAGTGCCAAAACGGTAACTCAGTTTTTAACAGAACGCGGATCTAGCGTTTATGGTCTCTCAACAAAAAAAAGTTAAAAAAGTGTCATTTGGGCGGTCAAAAATGTTAATTGGACATATGTACATAAAATTATCAAATATTTTACAGAGATTTCAATATTGTGTACACATCTTGTGTAATTTTTTTTTGAGTTCCGTACCAAGATTTTTAGTCTTGAAGTTTATTTATATGGTTCAAACAAATGTCCTCGACATTTTTGACAGTATGGAATAACCGATTTATAAAATTGAAAAATCATTCGGTTCGTACTCGATCGCGAGGCGTTTTTTGAAAAAGCAATTTTGCCGTTTCTGAGGTTTGGAGCGCAAAGGGTGTAAAAACGGCTATGCAGTTTTTGAGAGAACGGATCATCCGATTAGATTAATTCAAAAAATTTTGCTTGAGTGGACGGTGTACAAAAAAAGAATTTACAGAAAATTTAATAAATTTGAAATTTTTTAAAATAAAATCAAAATTTTTAAAAAAATTCAAAGTTTTAAAAATCAAATTTTCGAAATTTCTCATCATTTCCAAAAAAACTAAATTTTGAAAAATTAAAAAAAATGATTTCTTACAAAAATTTAAGAATATCTCGAAAATTTCGAATTAGATATTTTCGACAATTTTGAAAATATTCGAAAAAATCGAATATTTTCAAAAATTTTCAAATTCTCAAAATATTTAGAAAAAGCGTTTTTTTAAATTCCAAAAATTTCTAAGTTATCAGAAAATTTCTAAATTTTCAAAATAATCAAATTTTAAAAAATGGACTCTCTCACATCTTCATAAAATACGCTCGTCGCCCAATTTAAAAAGCACTTATAATTACAGTATGTAATAAATAATCTATTTAAAATTATTAAAAACAATTATTGATTATTTTCATTCCTTGAATGTTTAATTACGGTCAAATGGATTTTTATTCATATTCATATTATAGTTTTGTTATATATTAGACAAAATTATTCCAGGGAAGTTCCAGCAATTTGCCTTAAGGCACGATGCCATGCGCCCCACTTGTTTAACCCATTTTTATGCATGTCACACAACAGTTCGGGGGTGTGGACGGTTGTGACACTATTCAATGGTAAGATTTGATTATATGACTACCCAATCGTTTTTAAGGTCTATTTAAGTCTATATAAGTAAGTCTATATATGTAAGGTCTATATAAAGGTATTTAACTATTGCGTAGACAAATGTTTAATTACCACTTAATTTACTTTTTTCCTAGCTAACTGATATAATTGACGAAATTATCGCTCAAAGAGCAAGCGGCAACAACCGTACCCACCTCCTCTACATATACTAGTATTATATTGCATTAGATATGAACAAGACACAAAGACAAAAATGTCATACAATATTATCATTAATATCATAATAATGATAATAATAATAATTATTATTATTGCTATTTACTATTATATTATTAATAATATATACTTACTTGTTCGACGCCGAATTGAGAGAAAGGCTCGGAGAAGAAGCGGTAACGTCATCACGTCTAAGAGGAATGTCATCGTCCCTTTTTCGTCCTCCAGGACCACCATGTTCTTTGTAATCTCTGGAAATATTATAATTTTTAATTTATTAAACTATATTTAAAGAATAAAAATACAAAATATGCTAAAACCTATATACCTACCACTATAATATATTAAATATCTAAGTATACATTTCTAAATATACAACTTTTAGATTAGCTATTTCATTATTTTTTTATGAAAAGCAAATACATACTAAAATAAGCATATGAATTAATTTCAGAATTACCTCAGTACAACCTTCTTAAATTGTTTTAATAATAAATTTAGCAACAAATTATAATCATGTAAAAATAATGCATTGTGAATATATCATTTTACATAATAATTACCATTTTAATATTAATATAGGGTAGAGCAGGGCTTAAAGGTCCGCGGATAAATCTCATTACCAATATCTCTAAAACCAGTAAATTAAGAATTTTTTAACAACAATATTTGAAAGTAGAAAAGTAGTCAGCGTGATTCTTACGAAGTTACTGTCGGAAGATTAACAGAAATGTTTGAAAATCCATAACAAAAGTATTTCCTTTTGTTGTTAGTTTTTTGGTTCAAGCACTGTTTTTTAGTTTACGAAATCTTAACATTGTTTTTTATCATTTTATTGTATCATAAGGTGTATTGTTCCTTTTAATTCATATTCAACAGTTTTTACATAACCTCAATAAAATATTGCACGTGAGAGGAAAGCACGAATTGACCCTTTACGCTGGCAAAAGTTAACAACAAAAATAATAATTAAAAAAGTAAATCCAGTTAACAAAAACAATTTCACATGAGTAAAATTTAATAAATAGTTATTCCAACTCTGATGAAAATGACTCATTCCAACTCTGCTAATAAATGACAAAAATACTAGATCAAGGTTATATACAGTGTTATATTT